ACATGCAGTTGGGGTGACCATATGGCACATTAGTTCTTTATTTTTTCAGTTCTGTTCCTAAATGTGTGTTAGAAAATTGATCTTCAGTCTTTTAGCACAGATATGTTCTGGGATTTATCCGTGTTTGGTGTTTTGGGCTGTGCGTGTGTGTGTGTGTGGTGAGGGATTTTTTGACTTTTTTTTGTTTTGGTACAAGACTAAGTCCCTCTTTACTGGAGCATTTTGTGTTCAAGCCCCTTAACAAGCATTGGGACCAACTTAGCCAAAGGCTCTGCATTGATAAAGCACTTTGTGAGGTCTAAGGAACTTTCCACTGCTCGTATCAGAACTGGGGCTAATAACACTCCCTTTGCAGGAGTGCGGAGAGCATAGATTGATTAGCCGCAGAGCACTTGAAAGCAATCAGTTGAAAGGCTTGCTATAAGTGCATTGGGTGCAGTCCTTGTTGAAATCAAATGGGACTTTTGCCATTGACTGCAAGGGGGCTAGAATTTCAGCCAGTCCCAGGGTGGGAGAGGGACTAGAGGATGTTAAATTTATCACGGGAGGGATACATTCAGTTTTCAAGGCTCCATTGCTGGGAATATTTAAAAGATTAGACAAAATGCTAGAAAATGTGCTTCCGGGAGTAATCCTGTAGTGGCCACAAAACACAGCTGAGTGGCCTGTCCGCTCTTTCATTTAAAATATTTATGCGTCTGTTGCCAACGCTACGTGAGGTGATAGTTAAGGTTGCTCAGTCTAGTTCAAAGGACATGTAGCACGATGCACATCACTTTTTATGAGAAATATGGGAATCCCTAGCTACGGTTAATGAAATGGTGCTGACACCAACACATCCTGATGGCTGTGGAGGGTTAACTCTTTCCTTGTAGTGATACCTTAATGCAGGGGTTCCCAAACTTTTTGACACGGGGACCAGTAAATCCATTCATGAGCTTTCGGAGGACCGGTAACATTCATTTGCATATTTGCATATTCATTAAACAAATTACGAATCTGCAGATACGTTGGTTTTGGTCCTTCCAAAGCCCGCACAGCCAGCTTTAGCAAAGCTTTTGATACGGCCACCCACAATATTCTGACCAGCAAGTTAAGGGAATATGGATTGGAAAAATGGACTGTAATCCAATAAAACCCTGCACCCCCACATCGTGTATTGAAAAGGGGTGCATTTATTTTCAGAAAGCCGACACCATCTTTGGAATTTTGTATCCATATTCTCATTCCGGATGGTGAGTGCACCAGGTTCTCTGCTTTCTGACACACTGTAGAGCCTGTAAACCTCACTGGCAGCCGTGGGGATATTTAAAAGGCACTGCTTTTACACTTGTATTCAGGATCTGCGTGCCCCTGAACTGTCCTGCTCACCACTGGCCGAT